GGCCATTTTAGATATTATGAGTCTAAACGCTAATAAAAAGACCAAGAAATATTAAGTGACCTGACCACCTCCCTCCCTCTAACAGAGGAATCATATGCAATTAAGCATATTCTGTAATTTTCTTTCATATTATTATTAGAATGACAAGTGGTTCCCTTTTAGCTTACGTGTAACTCGCGACAGCAGTTTGTTCCAAAAGAATTCTATATGTTTGAACATGTAGAATAGAAATAGATGAAAACTTATAGTCTAGTTAGTATTACTCAAATATTAACAAATAGAATTAGACAGAGTATACACAAATAGATAAAATTTTGCCCTAAAAAAAGAAACCATGAATCTACGGGGATAAAATGTTAATTACATCACAAATGAATTATAATATTCCAATATTCCATATTATTATGAGATGAATATAATTAAAAAATGATCTCTCCCTATTAACTGCCGACGACAAGGAATACAGAGGAATTACGTCACTTGGTACTTTAGTCGCGCAGACAAAGGGCCAAAGGAATATATAATAATGAAAATAGGGAGGAAAAGGTAATATGAAGTAGTAATGCTCCATTTCGTTAAGATCAATAATTTTTTTATTTAAACCTTAGTTTGAGAATAGCTTTCTAAGCATATATGATGATGATGTCAAGAAAAAATTGAGAGGAGAAAATAAAATAGAACAAATTACAGAGTCACGATCATTAGCCTTTTTAGGTGAGAAGAACCCATCTCAACTTAGTCTTAACTTTTGTTTGGACGTAAGCGTAATTTTCCACATAAGAGGAATTATAAAGAAGTTCAGATTCATTGTCAGCATAATTATAATTGGCCCACCAGCACGAATATGCTCGGCGGCGAAAAGATATAGGAATATTTTCGTAACTATCCTTGTTGAAAAAATATTTACCTTTAAACTCCTCTAATTCAAAATTCTTCTTCTTGCCGTTTGACTGCATTTAGAGAAACGTTGCATCTTAACTGTGTTAAAAGAATAAATGGGTTTGCAAATAAATGGAGAAAAAACGTCGGGTTAATAGGTAAAAAGCCCTTACATAAAGCTAGTAAACTTGACGGGCCATTGTGCCAAAATGTTCACGTGAAGAGTAGTAATCACTAGTTCTGTTTTTATGTCTTTTTAATAAATAACTAATCTTAAACTGCATGGTTTGAAATCAAAATTACGGTTGCAATTATTATAGGATGTAAAAGAAACAAAGAGGTATTAGTTGAAAACCAAAACCAAACAAAGGGTTAAAACCAAAGTAAACCCAATACTATAAAAATCCAAAAATAAGGACAGACAAAGGTCCTAGTGAGCTCAGCTCCCTCTCACCTGAGATGTGAGAAACAAATGGTAGCCAGTAGCCTTTGCAATTCTCATGAAGTCATTATCCATGAAAAGAGGGAGGAGACAGAGGCCTGTACAGGGATTTACAAAGCACTCACTCAAGTGCAAGTGGGAAATTTCTTTAATTGGTGATCACTATAAAAAAAATTCTCTAAGGATCCAAAATATGAGACCAACAGGGGGACATGTGAGGTGTCAATCTTTTAAGTTTCAGTGCACGTTGATAAGTGAGTGTACCATTCAATAGTTAGTTTGTGTTGTATTCTAGGTGTTAGACCTTATGTTGATGATAGTGTAAATATATTCCATTTTATTTACCCCCTTTATGATTGCCGAAATGAGGGTCCTTTATTATAGTATTTCATGCTTCTCAGGTAGCATTTAAAAGTTAGTGATTGTATGGTGCAATATTCTAATTGTTTAGTTGTTTAAAGTGATATTTGCTGGCTATATGTACCGATGAGGATTGGATCCGGAAATATTGGTCAATAGGAACGAGACTAGAAATCTACAAGTATAACTACTACAAATGACATCAATACTAAATTGGGTGTTTATAAAAACAACGGGAGACTAGGGAGCGAATGGGACAAAATAGCGTAGGGGCAAATTAATGTAGGGAACTTAATACAAAATATATCTATCTAGGTTTTTTTTAATATAAAACCACCACGAAATATAGTGGCTTTTCGGAGAATCACAACTGAGTTCTTTTATTTTATAGAATCATCACAAAATATACTAGTTTTTCAGAAAACCACCATAAAATTTTTATTTTTCATAGAACTACCATGAAAATATAAATCTTTTACAAAGTCCCACCAATAATTTACATCAGTATTTTTGTTGAATAATAGTATAAATTGACATAAATGCCCATCATGACAAATTTTTAGAGAGGATGATTGCGGGTATTTGGAGGAAATTAAAACTTTTTTGAGGCAGTTAACAAAGTTTTAGAGGGAAATAAAGTATTTTATTTTTACTCCCTTTACACGCACACAGATACACACACACATATTGATAATGAGGCGGCTGGGAATCAAACCTAAGATAGCGAGAGTCATATTAGAACCTCCCAACCATCTGGGTCATCAAAGATGCTCATGTATTTTATTGATTTAAGAAAACATATAGATTGGCGGGTCCCACCATGAGGGTGTTTCAAGGATTTAGCATATTATTCAGTTTAACATGATATAAATACAAAATTATAATTTGGTGGCACTTTGGTATGGATGCATATTTTCAACGCGGCGCTATGAAAAAAAAAATCATGGTGATTCCTTGAAAAACCACTATACTTCGTCGTGATTCAATGAAAATAAAAAAAAATTGTGATGCTTTTCCGAAAAGCCACTTAGCTATTATGTGGTCAAAGGGGGCAATTAATCCCACCGCCTCCCTTTAGATCCTCCCCTGATACTAATACTTTATATACATTGTGCTATTTGAGATATATAATTACAAGAATCATGTTCTTCTTTCTCCGTATGTATTTCCATGGAAGCTCTCTCTCTCTCTCTCTCTCCCTCCCTCTCTCTGAGCTATCTTTTTCATGAAAAGGGTGACGAGGGGTCCAGGACTAGCGCATGGAGAAAAACAGAGAACCGAAGCGCAAGTGGGCTTTTTTAAATGGGCCCATTGGAGGGGAAAGGACAAGCAATGAATGTTATTGGGAGCCGCCGCATCTCTTCGGCCTTTGGCCCTTGGGAGACCCAGTCACCTCCCTGCTCTCGTTGGACGAGCCTGCAGCCAATCACGTTGTAAGCAAATCCGCGTTTTCCCTTTTTAGAGGAATATTCGCTCTGTACTTGTTGATGTGTTAACTACATCCGTGCTCGAGAAATACACGTGCCAATGAAAAATTCTCCGATAAAGATAATTTGTCATAAAATTAGGGACAAATTTTCAAAACCACCCCTTTGAGATTTTATCCCAAAAAAACGACTCATTTCCCTCTTATTTGTAAAAACCGACCTGGTTTCAGCCCCAGGGCTGAAACCAGGTGGTTTTTAAAAAAAAAAATTCCTCGTGAAGTTTAGCAATTATTTAATTAAGCTGCTAAACTTCACGGGAGTTTAACTCCCATGAAGTTCCACAGCTCAACTTTTTTTTTAACTAAGAAACTTCACCGGAGTTCAACTCCCGTGAAGTTTAACAGCTATTTAATTAAGCTGCTAAACTTCACGGAAGTTGAACTCCCGTGAAGTTTCGGAACTTTTTTTGTAAAAACCGACCTGGTTTCAGCGCTGAGGCTGAAGAACTCCCGTGAAGTTTCGGAACTTTTTTTGTAAAAACCGACCTGGTTTCAGCGCTGAGGCTGAAACCAGATCGGTTTTTACAAATAAAGAACTTTTTTTGTAAAAACCGACCTGGTTTCAGCGCTGAGGCTGAAACCAGATCGGTTTTTACAAATAAAGATGAAATGGATCGTTTTTTGGGAATAAAATCACAAATGGGGTGGTTTTGAAAATTTGTGCTAAAATTACTGGAGTCTTATTGATATCATCAAATGGATTGTAACCGCATTAGCACCATTGACTGCCACGCTTAAATAACATTACAAAGTTAATTATAAATGTTATTCATAAGTTCATCCCAACAGAAGGAGATCACACAACATCAGCCGAGCACAAAGGCTTGAATCTAAACTACACCCTTATTGCTCGTCACCTATCTTTAAGCTCCTGTTCAAATTCCTGCAGCTTCATCCGAATGGGGGCAACAAGTGACTGCAGATCTCTTCTTATCCTAACCTTTTCATCTGCAGTGAGATCTTTATCGTCACTGAGCCTGGATTCAACCTGCAGAGTCGAAAACAGAAAGCAAAACGATACACATGAGATGGAAATAAACCACAAAACTTTCCCTTTGTTTGAGCATATTACTGATTCAGTACTCTAAAAAAGGCTGTTCCATTGCCTTCGAGGATTCTTGCACCGCGGGATGTGTTACATGGAAATGTACCTGCAAGTCATCCAGCTCTCCAAATGAAAATTCTGGAATATCTAGATGACCCTGGATTCTCTTCTTCTCCTCTTTCACTAACCAGCTCTCCAAATGAAAATTCTGGAATATCTAGATGACCCTGGATTCTCTTCTTCTCCTCTTTCACTAACCACTCCCCTGTTTCCATTAACAATAATATCTAGATGACCCTGGATTCTCTTCTTCTCCTCTTTCACTAACCACTCCCCTGTTTCCATTAACAATCACCGTGCGGGGAAAAACAAACAAGGAGGGTAAGTAGCAAAGCTCCGTATTGATCTGTCAGATGACAGTAAATACACAGGTAGATACTTTACCTTTAAATTTTAGGGTCAATTCATATGTATATCCAACTCTTTTCTTGTTGCGCACTGTGACCACGGACGAAAAGGAAAGGGAAAAAAAGGGGGCTTGCTGTTAGCAGCGAAACGAAGCATTACACAACAATAAGGGTTCACAACAACATGCCGCAAATAAAAAAAGGGAATAAATATTTTAGTGAAAAGCGATTTCATCTACCTACCAAACATAAGTTGCTTGATAATCAAGCAGCATCATTGAATGACAATGAGGGTTCATAACAACACACGATAAATAGGGGAAACCACTAAATTAGTGCTAAGAGATTTTCATCTATCGAACTTAAGTTGCTTGTAATCAAATATCATAGCACAACAATGAGAGTTCAAAAACAACCTGCTGAGGTAGCACATAGCTTATGAAATATAGTAACAATCATTTCAAAAAATTTCTCTAGATGTACAAGTAAGAAAATGATAAGAATTCAAATCCATAGTATTTTTCTAGCCTCACAAATTAACTCAGATGATTTAAGTTACCTCAAGACTATATATCTCTCAGGCTTCAGCATAAAAAATAAAAGCCTCATGTATGATCTGAGTCTCAGAATAGGAAAGTGGAAAAGCTAGTAAATACAGTTTCAATTTAACGACCACTATAAACCAGAATAGTGCTAGTCATAATTAGTGCCCACGTCTTTATCTATTTATTTATTTTTGTGTAAATGTGATGCAATAAGCTATCATCGAGAATGAAGCATGTACCTAGGTTGCTTCTCTCTGTATCATGTCAAGCGAATGGACAGAAGTACAGGTGGAAATACTCATCCAGATGTGATAGAAGAGGTGATAAATACCAAGATTATGCACAGATAATATACGAAAAATCATCAATAAGTTGGACTTCTGGGTTAGAACAGACAATGTAAGGTCCAAATCAGAGGAAGTAAATGCATTATGGTCAACTTTTAATAATTACATATAAGCCTTCGATGGTTCCAACCAGCATCAATATCAATATGCTGATGTTTACAAAAAAGAAGCACTGAAGTCACTTCACTCTTAAAAGTAGAGCTTTTTTACTTAAAATAACATTCAAGACAAAAGATGACAAAAGACGATCTACTGTGCCAACATCATCTCTTAAACCTTCTGCAAGCAAGCATATTGATAGCTCTAATCCTTTAAAGTCGCCATTTTTTGTATTCATTTTATGACACTATTAATTTGACACATATAGGATGTAGTCACAAATGTTTGATGCACATTTTTGAAGTCATGGTATGAAACAGTTTAAACTATGACAAAATAGCGTTGCCACCTCGCTGAATACACTCCCAGATAGTAAAGAAATATGTTCATACTCCAACATCTATAACATCTATAATCACTTCATACATCTTTCTATTGCTTTCCCAGTTTCCCTGCACTCTTCCTTGGCTTTTCCTTCTCAAAATGATCCACCATAAAAACATGCATGTTAAGCTCCTTGATCCAGATCATCATGTCACTTTGCTTCACTCAATCATCTAAGATCAGCACTATTCTTCAGATCCTGCAAGTATCTTAAATCTATATCTATGTTACCTGGGTACTTCTGATCTGAAGCCGTACCCATACCCGTACCCATACCCAAACTCCTCGTACACTCCTTGCATCTATGCATACATTTATTCGGGCATGTACTCAAGTAAGCAATATACTTTTTAATATAAAACACTCGTCATACATTTTGGACATATATTCTACACTTCACATTCCCTTCTTGCAACTCATTAGACAGAGGTCAGCTTCCGAAATATGATTTTGAACGGTCGTTTGGATGTCTAATTCAAAAACTAGTGATTTTCCAATTTATAATCCACTAGTTGGGAACACCGTGCAAAGCACGGCATATCATTTTTTCTCTGCTACAGTAATCCCGACTTTTAAATGTTGCGGTAATACTTTTTAAATTTTTTGGATTGCTACAATTCCCGCTCTGCTACAGTTTTCGAAAAAGCTACAGTATTCCTGTTTGCTACAGTGTCATTTTTTAAATTGTTGCACTATCCAGTTTCATATCTGCTACTGTAGCAGTTACTGTAACATGCATAGTGAATCTTGGGTTCTCCCATTTGTATAGAGGAGTAGATAAAATAAAAGCAAAACAATATTATCATAGGAATTTTAATCATCATCCTTGTTCTCATATAAATTATTAACTCCAATATATAATATATGTGTACATAAATATTTATATAGCCACGTCCCTGGACCCTATGTTTTACAACTTTGCCATGTCCTGTACCCGTATCCACACCCGTACCCATGCAACATAGATCTCTATCCTTAACCCACTTCTACATTCTCCACATACCACAAATAGCCTGTAGATTCAATAAAAGTGTGTTGTGTTCACAAACAGCACAATAGCTCAACCACAAGGACACTACTACAAATCAGTGGACTTACAAGTACTCCTGCACTCGCAACAAAGAATCTCACATCCTAATTCTTGTCACTTTTTATTTGTTGGAAAACATAATTGATGAAAATTGATCCGAACTTAAATGGAGCAGGATGACACATACATGCTTAATTTCAGAAGATTACCATATGTATTTAAGAGTTAAGAAACTTATTTCCTATCATGCATTAGGAAGAAAACGGAATCTATCATATTCAGTCCCTTATCTAAACTCGGTCTTTAAAAGTTTTAGAGCGACCCTTGAATCTGAATCACATGAGCAAAACACACACATAACCAGTAACATAGGATTTCTGTTTGTCAATCTCCCTTCTAGGTTTCATAGCAAACTATTTCGTCTCCATGATTTTGTAGCTAGTTGGCAAGTTTGAGAGAATTAACACCCACCCGGAAAAAAAATGTAGGGCCTTGACACCTTGTGTAGGCAAAGCCCACCAAGATGGAGAAGTCTTGACTTAACAATCGTGATGAGTATGAATGATGATAATGCTGATGTTTTATATTCATTAGCTCGTCAATATGTTCCTATGTAGCAATCAGCCTCAAAGAAACCCAACAACAAGGTAACTGCAGAAATCTGATGTGTCATAAAAAGCCCAGGGCAAATGCCAAGGATCATGAGACTTTTTATGTATACTAAATGTGCTCTACAAAATTTTGGCAAAACAACTACTTACGCTCTTTGTTTTCTGACAAAAACTTTTTCATGTTTGAAAGAAAGATTTATCCCTGAGGCGGATCATGGATGATAAGAAAAGTTGCACTTACATCTCCAGAGCATTTGGACACTTCATCAATAGTTGCCTTGCCACTAGATAGCTCCAATGTTCCTAACGAGCTTAGGAGCTCCTGCATTCCAAATACAAAATATAGCAAAGCATTTTCATGAAAATTTAAAAAATACAATAATCACCTGGCAAAGCATTGTGCACAAAAGAAACTTGAATATTTCTGTAACGACAAAAAAAAGAACTTCTCATGAGAGATATAGCAAACCTTGATTCTATTGCTTGCCCATGTATTAAGATTCCTTTCCTCCCATGTTCCAGCCTGAAGACACATACAAACCATCATTATAAAGAATGAAGAAAAAAGGAAAGTGCCAAACCAAGAAGTGTGCAGTATAAAAGTTTCAAATTAGGTTTTGAGATAAAAACCAAGCAGAAAAGATGGGAGCTAATAAACTAAGCAACATATTTTAACGAAGTTGCAGAAAGAAAAAAAGCTCCAGCCTGAAGACACATACATACCATCGCGAATGACAAGAAATGGGAAATACAAAAAATCAAAAGAATGGAGTTTTAACATTTTAGCTTAGGTTTCAAGTTAAATAACGGAGACAATGACAACAACAAATGAGATAAGCAAGAAATTTTGACAATGTTGCAAAAGCTCGTTAAGCTAACAACAATACCTTTATCCCAAGTTTTGGGGTCGAGTACCAGAATCTTATGCTTCCATTCATTTCTATTATGGAACAACTCCTTCGTCAAGCGATATATTATCATATAATTACTCCACACAGTTCTTTTAGGTCTAACTTGAGTCCTCTTTGTCTTATTAACAACTTGACTGAAGCATTTGGTAGGCTTCATAGTACATGACAAAACCATCTCCATCTCCATCCGTTCTCTCTAATTTTATCATTACAGACTCCAATGAATGCACTCATTTCTTATCCTCTCTTTTAATGTACATGCAAAAGACCGTTGTGGCAATCTCATTTCTTCTAGACTCATTCTTTGCACATATTGTTTCTCACTTACCTGACATTCTTATCTATAAATAATTATTGTCCTTATAATTGTCCTGTAGAATTGAATATTTAATCTCATATGCGTTCTACAGTCATATAAGACTCCTAGAACGCTCCTCCAGTTTAATCATCCTCATTTGATTTGATGAACTACATTACCCTCCATTTCACCATCATGACCAATAATTCAGGCCAAATAATGAAAGTTATTACTCTAATGTATTTCTTGACCATCAATACGCACCGTAACTATTCCTCTTCACAGTTTTACTAAAAGCATATTTCGTTAGATTCTCGAGTCTCTCCACCTATCTACATTTTAAATTACCCCTTGCCTAGTCTTATCAACCAATAGTACATCACAGCAAACAACATTCCATTTGATTAAGTCTAATAAGTGAATGCACTAGTAAATGCAAAAAAAAGATACGATCTTAAGCTCATGTAAGCTTATGCTGACATAAAACGGTTCTCTCTCCTGAACATGCCTTGGGAAAAAAATAGTTTTAGCTAACAGCAGCCCTAACCCTAATGTATGATAATAAACCCGAAATAAAACTCAATTAAGGAGCAACAAACCACACACCAATTCTACATGAACACTACAAGCTTAAACAGTTCCGATAATAATCGCAATTCAAGCTTCAATTAACAATATAAAAAAAATCAAAACTTTTGGAGAGATTCAAAGAGTCTAACCTGATTCCAAACGGATCCAAGCGAATTGCTATTGGTCAGCGATCGCTTCGAGATATCCTCCGCCGTCAGCTTCCTCGGCGTCGGAAGCGGAGCTGCTTCCTCCGTCGCCGTCCTCACCCAATACGTGTAGGAGGACTGCTTCTCAACGACCTCGCCCTCCGTCGCCATTGACTGAAACCCCAGAAAAAGCGAAAATTTCCCCCAAAAGAAAGAATTCCCCGAAGAACTGGGGCAAACGAGGGGGTCGATTGAAGAATCAAATGTAGGTGATGCTAAATTGAGGTTTGCGATAAATTTGGGGATTTGAGGGCGAAAATTTTGAACTAGTTTACTTTGGGCGGCGGGAGTTCGACCCTGAGAACAGAAAGAGACAAGGATCGATGCGGCTTTCGCGGGTTCTCCAGAAGCTTCGGAGGGTTCTGACTACTTTTCTTGGGCTCTTGTTGGGCTTTTCTTGGGCTTTTCAGGTAGTGGAATTTCATAAAAATGTATAATATTTGGGTTTTTTAAATATTGCCCCTTAAACCTTTAATATGTTGACTTGGCTCCTCAAAATTATAGAAATTGATATTTGGCGCTCTATTCTCACATGCTAGCTTTAACTTAATCGGTACATATATGGGTTTTTATATTGTTGCACTCATTGTATCGGGTGGGCCTATTCTACACCTGCGAACGAACATCAGGGTTCCGCACCTGTGAATGCTTCACGTGGGTAGGTCCCACATAATTCACACATATATGTAATTTCTAATTTTGTTCTGAATAAGAGGGATTGATATGATTACTGTAGTATCTCATAATTAGACATTCATACTTACATTTTCATTGCTTGGATAATCGATTGCATAGCTAAAATTATTAATCGGACTTGGTCGCTCTAATGCTTTCGCTCGACTTTAATTGTTTTTTTTTTCCCTTCAATTTTAAGCAATGCAATTCACTTAATACGTCACGAGTTGAAATTTTCAAACGCCCAAGTTCCAAATGCAATATGATTACGCAATGTAAGACACCCCACATCTCACAAATTGCATTTTCCATAAATAATTAACAACTCAACTTATCATTTAATTACGTAATCAGTCATTCACAAGGCGACGCTCGATTTGATTTGGGAGCCATGGGTGGGGCCCCACCGTGCCTTTGCCGACACGACACGCGGCCGATTTCGTTACGCGACGAAACTCCGAAGGGGAATAAAAAAAATACGCGACCGAAACCCTAACGGAAGCCACTTCAGTCTCCTCTCTCGCGAAATGGGAGACGAGGGATCGCCGCCGTCGTACACCGTCGACGATGCGCTGGGATCGACGGGGTTCGGGAAGTTCCAGGCCCTGGCGCTCGCTTACTCGGGCGTCGGGTACGCCGCCGAGGCGATGGAGGTGATGCTGCTCTCTTTCATCGGGGGCCCACTTCGGGAGGAGTGGGGCCTCACTTCGGGCCAAGAAAGCCTGATCACCAGCGTCGTTTTCGTCGGGATGATGGTGGGCGCCTCCTCCTGGGGCGTCGTTTCCGATAACTACGGAAGAAGGTATTAGCTTCTTGATACTCGCTCGATTGATTTAGGCACTGTTTGACAACAAGAGATTGTGTCTTATCTAAGACTAAGAGATTGTGTCTTATTGATTTGGTCAATAAGCTAATAAAGCTGTTTGGTGACCAAAAATAGGAGGAGATTATTTTAGAGATTTTATCTTTTGTAAGTAGTTTTTGGAAAGCTACATCAAATAACATTTGTCTTTGGGAAGGAGCTGTCAATTTTTTTCTTTCGTTTTTGCTCTTAATAATTCTAATTTTATATCAATAATATTACATGTTTTTTTAGTCATTTAATAAATTTAAGCTAGTTATACAACTACTTTTGCCAAACAGCTCTAGTCAATCAACTAGCTATACAGTTATCAGCTTTCAGCTCCAATTTCACAGCTTTCAGCTATAATCTCGCGGCTTTCAGCTAGTTTTGCCAAACAGAGCCTTAATATGTTTGAATATTTCAAGAAGACATGTTTGAATAACTGATTCAAAATTAGTTATTAGGTTGTTTCCTATTTTTCAGGATATATGTTAGTAGTGGTTTAGTTGTTTATTTAGTCAATTGTCATGTATTTTTTGAATTGTTTGTTGCTGATTTCTAGGAGTTTAAGTTGGTGTAAGGTCTATATATTTGGTCATTCTCTATGTTAGCAGAATATGAGAAAATGAAACATTTTCTTTAATAAAACTTATATTCTTGTTTTCTCCTCTTTTTCCAACATGGTATCAGAGCTCCAATTTTCTTGGGTTTGTGAGGATTTAAAAAAAATACAAAGTGATCAACCTTTGTTTTTTAATGGCATCCAACAATCTTTCGCTTCCATACCCATCCTCAATGGAGACAATTATCAATCTTGGGCTATCAAGATGAAATCTCATTTGAAAGCTTCGAGTTTATGGGAGGTTGTTGAGAGTGACTATGAGCCGACCCTTCTTCCACAAAATCCAACCCTAAACCAAATCAAGAAGCACGACGAAGAAAAAGCAAAAAAGCCAAAAGCCCTCTTTTGTATTCATTCGGCCATGTCGGACAGAATCTTCACAAGTATAATGACTTGTGAATCACCTAAGGAGGCGTGAGAGATGCTAAAGGAAGAGTTCGAGGGTAATGATCAAACAAAATTGATGCAAGTTTTGAATCTCAAAAGGGAATTTGAGATGTAAAAGATGAAGAAAGGTGAGACCATCAAAGAGTATGTCGGTAAGCTTATGGCTATTGTCAATCAAATTAGATTGCTTGGTGAAACATTTTCTTTTGTGTATGAAGTTCAAGGGAAAATTATCGAACATTGTAAAAGTTTGTTATTACAAAGGTTTGATATTTGGTTAAAATTATAGGTTTCTTATATCGATATTAGAGGATTTAATGGTAAATAACATTTTTTATGTTTTTCATGTAATATTTATATTGAATTTTTTACTCTTCAGAGATAACGATGAACGATCGAATCATAATTCTTTGTTCATATGATGGAAAGATTAACTATCTCGAAAATAATATGTCTGCCTGTTTATGAAGGAGGTGTGACAAAGTCGTTTATATCAAAATCATGTACTTTCGATGAATTGGTTAATAACTTACACAAACTTACATTAACCAACTCACATGAGTATCACATTAATGTTATTTACAATTATCCTATTGTAGGGAACATAACGAGTGACATTCAAATCTCAAGTGACTATGATATGAGTCTTATTAGAATATTGCACGATGAGAAGCGTTTGATGGAATTATTTATTAAAAAACATCACAAAAATTTGGGCAAATCGGGAAATCACGATGGAATATACTCACGCATGTTGGAGGACCTTGAAGTTGACTTTGTCGGTTTTTTATCTCCGCAATAAGATGTAGCTGGACACAGTCACAATACTTGAGTGGTCTTTCACTTGTGGACACTTCAAATGCCTTCGATACTAACGCTTCCCATCAAGATCATAATGCAAGTGTTGAATCTAAGGATGATGATGAAGATGATGGCTTACAAATTAATAGCATGACGTATTTGATAGATCATGATGAAGGAGACAACCAATATATTGACGGATGTTATAATAACAATGAGTATGTCGTGTTCGAGGATTCGTCGCTCGATGAACTTCATGGAGAAGAATGTATTGATAACTTCACGATGAAAAGTATTCTTATCGGCACTAATATCGTTGATGATACACAAGGCGATGACTTCTCATTCAAAAATGAGGATCTATTTGAAAGCAAGGAGAAATTGATTCATGCGCTTCGTTTATGGGTCATCCAAAAAATATCAAGTTTAGGCAAACAAAAAGCAATGCAACAAGCTATAATGTGGTTTGTTTTTGCCGTAAAGATGGCGAAGAAGAAGATAATGGTGGGCACCACGATGGCAATATAAAATATCCTTGAAAGTTTAATTCACGCTTAGGTGTAAGAGTAAGCGGGCAATTTAAAATCACACACTACAACAGACTTCACACATGTAGCAACCCTCAATTAGAGATGAATCATAAGCACGACTCCGTCTGATTCATATATCGATTGATTATGCCTAATCTAAGGGAGGATCTTGATTTAAAACCAAAAGATATTATTTTTTAATGCATAAAGCGATCAACTTGGATGTATCATACAACAAGTGTTAGAATGCTCGGATGAAGACGATGATAAAAATATTCGGGGATTGGGACAAATCTTATGAGATCTTATTATATTATCTCGAAGCACTCGAAAGAGAAAATCTGGGGACAATCTATGAAGTATCATCAGACCCTGTTGATGACGGAGAACGACGGTTCACAGGTGTATTTTGGGTATTTAGGCCTTGCATTGATGGTTTCAGATATTATCGTCCTTTCCTTAGCATTGACGGCACACACTTGTACGCTAAATATAAAGACGTATTGGTTGTTACAATCGGAGTAGACGCAAATGGCAGATTATTTCCTTTGGCGCTTGCAGTGGTTGATGTTAAAAACACAGAGAATTAGACGTGATTTTTTGCATGCATTAGATATCATATCCCTAATGTGGGAGCGCGATCGATTATATTCGTATATGATAGGATAAAAGGAATTTCAATAACACTCCAACGACATTTCCCGTCGTCCCATCAACATCGTTATTGCTTGCGACATATTAGGGATAACTTCAAAAGGAAGAATGGAAACGGACAGGTTCAAGATCTTCTTTGGTAAGTCGGTTGTGCAACGGAAAAATTAGTTTATGAGCAATTACGGGAGAGGATTAAGTTCATTTCACGAGCTGCACATGAATGAATCGAAACTAGTTTGGGTCCACACAATGTTGATAAGTGGGCTTCATGTGAAGATGCATGTCCCAAATTATGGAGAGCCAGAGTTTCATTGATATGTTGGGAGATTGTGGAGATGTATGTCCCAGATCGTGTGTTACGGTAATTTTTGCGCTCTCAGCATGTGTCGGATCCTGTTGAGCAAATCGATCGTAGACGACGGATGACATCGCATCGTACAGACTGGGCTGTATTCCGTGCAGCCTACATAGACAGGTAGATTAATAGGTGGGATTTCATACAGGATGAGAAAGATACAGCTGTTGATTATTCCACGTATATGCGTTGGTATTGGGATATCACACGCAGATGGATCACACGCAACCCACAACCATCAGCCGGATACTTGCCACGCCCACCGACAAATAGTTACATCCTTAGTGCCATGATCGAGAGAGATTATGCGAGTTTCTAAACTAAATTAAAACGGTAATTCTTTTTTTATTAAGATATTCTTTATGCTAAGTTGTGTATATATTTATTAACTCGCAGATCAATGCTTTTGATGACATTGAAGCTGATATAAATGAGCACATCGGTGACATCCAGGAGCCGACGGCGTTAGGGGTCTTCAACATGATTAAACAGAGAATAGCAAGTGTGTTTCATAAGACTCGTGTCGAAGAGTTTATAGGCCGTGAGGACAGGTCTTGATCATTTGGGCAAGTGTACACGCGACGACGTAGGCCAGGTAATGATGACGCCGACACTTCTCATAGCACGGCGCATGGGAGAGGAATGAGAGAAGGACTTTTGGGATGTATGTGATTTTCTTTTGTGAAATTTATTACTTTTAGGATTGTTCAAATTTGTTACTTTTGTGGATCGATTATTGTTTATATATGTGATTTTCGTGAGTATTGTTTGATTCATGACTGAATTTTAAGAATATTGTTGTAATTTAGTATATATGTGATTTTCATGTGTATTGTTTGATTCATGTATATTGTTTGATTCATGGTGAAAATTTCATGTATATTATTGTGAAATAGTTGGGAAATTGTTTTCATGTATATATGAGATAGACGACCGAGGAGCTTTGCATGTTTTTCATCATTTAGGAAAACCGTCGTGTATATAAAAAACATGCACAACAAGCTGTGCATGTTTTTTAAAACATGCAGCTTCACGGAACTTGAAGTCCCGTTAAGTTGCAGGCTAAATTTCCAGAGAGTTGGAAATTCAGCTAAACTTCACGAGACTTCAAGTCCCGTGAAGCTAAAACACACTACTTTCAAGTTCACAAGATTTCAAGTCCCGTGAACTTACACAGCTTAATTAGCTGGCTGGTAAACTTCACGGGACTTGAAGTCCCGTGAAGTTTTAGATATTTTTTTGTCAAATTCGACACAGTTTCAGCCAGATGGCTGAAACTGGGTCGATTTTGACAAATAAGTTGAAAAGAGGTCGAAATTTGCAATTGTTTTTGTAAATGGGTCGATTTTCAAAATTTGTCCAAATAAAAACATAGTGTTGTAAAACCATTGCATCTTATAGGAATGCTCTCGGTGCACTTTATCAGCTCACTTTGCATCATATGCATTGTAGGCGTTAATTATTGAAAAGTTAAACAGGCTTTTATTTTCCGATGGCTAATTTAATTTGCTACTAACTAGTGTTGTTAGGTAGGTTGGGTTATGTACAGTTTTCAAATTTTTAGGGGTGCAATTGGACCCCTACGCATACATGCCAATCCGCCGCTGATCACTACTTCAAAATATTTGTGCATTATGATGGGGATAACTTTAAATAATAAAAGCTTAAGGGCTAAATACCCATATTGGTATTTTAATTCAACCCTATTTGCCAAGAAGGTATTTTAAATAAAAAAATCTGGCTAAATACCCATATTGGTATTTTAATTCAACCCTATTTGCCAAGAAGGTATTTTAAATAAAAAAATCGGCGTTAAGGCATTTTAATTTTTTAAATAAAAAAATCGGCGTTAAGGCATTTTAATTGATTAAAATTACCAATTAGGTCCTTTTTCTCGTTGGCGATCACTTTTTCGGCGAGAACTCGTCACGTGCATTTTAATTCAACCAGTTTTCTGAAGTGGCAGTGGCAGTGGCAGGAAGAATAAGAGTCGATGCATTTTAAAATCCCCCATTTCTAAAATTGGTAAAAAAAATTAGCGAAAAATTAATGGTGAAATTACCGTATAAATAGAACATCTTTCTCTTGCATCGATCCATGGCCGCATCGGCGGCAATCTAGTCTGCAGTGATCTTCGTCTTCTCACTCTCTTCTCACCGAATTCCCATGGCGTTTTCTTCTAGAAGTTCCTAGAATCGGGGGTTTTGGCTGCTTCTGTTAGCGGTAAAGGTAAGATAATTGAGTTGGATCTGAGATCTGGAGTGAATGCGTGGAAGTTTGATCTTTGTTTTGAAATTTTTAGGGTTCAGGTTGGTTCGTTTTGGACTTAAATTGTGATTAAGCCACATCAGCAGCTAAAACCGAGCCACATCAGCAAACCGAGCCACATCATCAGCTAAAACACAGATTAAGTCATCACGTGTCACGCACGTGACGAGTTCTCGCCGGAAAAGTGATCGCCGACGAGAAAAATGACCTAATTGGTAATTTTAATCAATTAAAATGTCTTAACGCCGATTTTTTTATTTAAAATACCTTATTGGCAAATGGTGTTGAATTAAAATACCAATATGGGTATTTAGCCAAAGCTTAAGCATACGTCTGGGACCTGTATAGTCTGCAATGGTGTTGAACTGCACACTATTTAGGTTTTAGGGATAAAATGTTGAAATAAAAATTCCTTGTTGGAGCACCCCATCAGTTAAATCAGCGCTTTTGTGGATTAACACACTAAATCTGGTGGAACTGGGGCTTAATACACTAATTCAAGGCTTCTACTCTTGGTGCACCAATTGCCCAGTTGATGGGAGGCCACTTGAAAGTTTTCTGTTGTCTAACATGCGATGCACATGATCAGAAGGAGAGTTGTTTGTAAGAAATAAATAAGTTATCACATCCCGTGTGAACTATGATACTTTTAACTTTTTAATTTTGTGATATTCCAATTTGAACGCTCATGTATTATTTCCTGATTGCACTGTCACCAGATAAAACTTAACAGAAGGGAGGATGAAATAAATGCCTTAAGAAGGTTCCTTGAAGAGCATATGACTAAGACTGGAAGATGGTAGTTTTTTGCTCTTCATGATTTGTTCTGTGTGATTAAGTAGCATGTTGAAAATTTCAAGAATAATTGATACTTACAACGAGTTTACCATTTTCGAAGTAATTTTAGGAATTGTTTTGCATGTTCACAAGGAGTGTCCTTACGGTACGGGGGTAGTTGTCAGTCACATCCCTCATCTAAAACATGCCTAAATTTGATAAGTTTACTACTAGGTTTGGCGCCATGATTATGATCCCTTAAGGTACTGTTCAGTTTGGTTAGGTGCCATGAATGTAGTCCAATTTAGGTGCCATGAATGTAGTCCCTTAATATGCCTAAAAATCCTTCTCTTACTGATGTTTTAATTGTAGATACACCTCCTATGAAGGATTAGTCACTTATTTTTCCAAAACTATTTTCATATCCACGACACTGACTTCTTTTACCCTGTTTTCATGTGTGTGCATGCGTGTGCGTGGGTGTGGGTGTGTGTAGATAAACACCTCGAGGGTAAAATTTTAAGATTAGTCAGGGGTGCAGAGGTGCATGTACTAATAAAACAGTTTAGGGCTAGCAAGTGACTAACCCCTGCACGACAAGGGGTGTTATCTGCAATTAACCCTCAAAATAATTAGTTAATTGATGACTTTCGAGTAGGTTTTCTAAATAGAAGTAAACCATAAAAAACAATTAGTTAATTGATGACTTTTGACTAGGTTTTTTAAATAGGAGAAGTGAAGTTTTAAAAGAGGTCATATGCATGATTGCAGCAAGAACTTAACAAAGATCTGATGTTTCCCTGATATGTTATGCCTAGACAGAGAATAGGGATCTCGAGTGAGGAAGTTTTTGGAAGAGGGAGTTATATGAAATTACCCTCAATAAAAGAGATGTTAAGTAAGTTTGTAGTTTGGAGATTTTTTTTCACTAAATTTGGGTCTTTTGTTGCTGTCGTTAGTAAGGAAATGGCCCACTTACATGTCCTCTCTTGTAGTCGGCTATTTATATGGGCACACCAAGATATATGGTAATTACCGGATAGACATGTAAAACAGAAGTAAAATGTCTGATATACATGCTTGACACATTTCAGTGCAACACAGTTTTACGATAAGAATGTATCTGCTACATAACTTCCAAGAGTATAAAATAAATAAATACCCCATTCGTAGAATCACTACTTGATCTGGAATGTAAATTTCAATTCTCTTTTATAACACATATTACACATATAGTCATTCCTTAAATCACCCTATTTGAGCAAGACAGTTTTTTTTAATGGTAAGTCTGGCATGGTTTTGAAACCACAGTATGATTTCATACATATGGGAACTTTGGAGTACTCTTATGATTATTCTCTTACCTTGAGAAATAAAGGAATTATGGTGTAGATGTCAACTCATGAAATTGTACCAGTTTTACGTAGACATTGTTAAGAGGGTGATGAAGATAATGGAAGTATATATTTCAATTTTAATAGAACTATTTTTATTATCACACTACTTGTTTCAGAGACACTTTAATGTTTTCATGTTCAAACGTGCTGCAAAATGCCAATCGGTAGTATGTTATGTTTTAGATATGAGATGAAAGAAGTAATTCCTTTAGAGTATATGCAGCAACAATAGGTTTAAAATTAACAGAGCCTAGTTATATAACAAGCAAGTTCAACAATGGAATCATCTTATAAATATTTTCCGGGAAAAGAAGGAGCTAATTGAAACAGTTTCTTTTTCAACATATACTGATTTTAAGCTTCATGCTCCTGACTTTATTCTGCATGTGGCACGCTTCTGCTCTCTTTTGTCCTTTTTCTTTCTCTATTCAGGAAAGGGTTCCTTTTTACAGCCCTTGTTACTTGTGGTGCTGGGTTTCTCGGTGCTTTTGCTCCCAATTATATCTCCTTCGTTGTTCTTCGTTTCATGGTTGGTATTGGGCTTGGAGGTGGGTCAGTGCTTTTATCTTGGTTTCTGGAGTTTGTTCCTACGAACAATAGAGGTACCTGGATGATTGTTTTTACATGTTTTTGGAGTGTTGGCACGGTATTGGAGGCTTCGCTTGCATGGGTATGTCAGTCTATAGTCTTTTGTCACATTAAATTGTGCAGAATCTTGCATTCTTTTTCTTAGCCATCGGTATAATTACTATTCCTAATAATATCATATAAATTCTCTAAGTAAAAGCAAAGGAACCATATTTGAGGAAATATAATTCATCGGAAATATAAGTCATCCTATTTTGACTGGAAATTCTCTCTCTTTTTTTTGGCAGATTGAATTATAGAGATGCATCAGTGTGTTTTAATACAATCATTTTTTAAGCCTTTTAAAATTCTGGAGCATATGATTTGTCTTCCTAATGTAATAAAACTATGCTGTTTATGAGACTCGTACATGTGCATTTTCTATATTAACATGTGTTCATCATTTCCTTGCTGGTTTTGCAATCATATACATTTGATGCATTCTTTAACCTGATGATACAATCATCAGTCATCCTTTTTTGTGGTATTGGATCTAAAAGACAAACCAGTCAAATTGGGTGGACCTTGCAGGGACATCAGCATCCATGACATGTTGAGAGCTAATAAATTGGTTATGGGATAGTATGAGAAAACAGATATAGCTCAAATGTCATCTTTAAATGATGCCCATCAACATCGTAGATGCATTGTTGCTTGTGGAAGTTTCTAGCTGGTTTGCAGAACATTTATCACTTTTTATGGTTATTGTTTCTTGGAGGAAGGTTCTTCTTCTTCTTCTTTTTTGTATTGTTTTTTTTTTTTTTTTTTTTGTTTTTTTTTTTTTTTGTTTTTTTTTTTTTTTTTTTTTTTTTGGTCTTCAAGGAATGCTGTGTGTCATATTCTTTGCTCATAGTTGGTGTCGTGTATTTAAGCTTAAAATTCGGCTTCCTATTTGGAATCCTAATTCTGAGAAAGAGGAGTAAGCTGAACACCAACCTTCATCTTTGTGAATCTGACTCTCTCAAGGAGTGCAAGAATCTCCATGAAAAATAATTGCTTAATTGGGCTCAATATCTGTGAGGCGCTCTTTTACCTTCTTGTTCTATGGCTTCTTTTACTGGTCAATTTTTTTCTTTTGATTTCCATGTGTTGGTTGCAATAAGAGACCTGGAACCTGTGTGATATCGTGTCATCACCTTCTTGCTCAGCATTAACATAGCCACCCCTTTCGATTTCATATATCAAGTTTTTCTAAAGGATTTCCTATATCAAGTTTTTCTAAAGGCGACATTTTTCTTTCTTTTTTGTGGTAGGAAGCCCAAACAGGAACAATTTAAATTGTCCACACCTGTGGATTTTTGGTTTCATATTGCATCAATTTGTCGGCACCTGGGCCCCACACCATTTTACAATGAAAAATAACTAATCCTTGTACAAAAAAAGAACCAGGAAATGAAAGAACAAATAATTTAAAGTTTGTAAAATAAAATCATAAAAAATCAAACTTTCAATGTTTTCCTACGAATATATATGAGTGATATAAATATAAATGCCAGATTGATTTTTGTGTAATTTTTATCTAGTGACATGAATGCAGTGGACATCTTTCTATGTAAAAGTTACTGTCATGGATGACTTGGTTTAGCATTAGTTGGAAAAGCAACTAGAGTTTTCTCTGAACCCCAATGATTATTAAATTTTATTCCTGTTTCTCAACTTTCAACTTTGTTACCACAGACCAAATTGTTTGATGTAATAAGCATTTAACCTAATAGCTGTTTTTCAAGCTGGGGAAAATTCTAGGATCATCTTCATTAAGACTCATGTTATTTTCCCTATGTTTTATAGGCTGTCATGCCAAGATTAGGCTGGAGGTGGCTACTGGCATTATCTGCTTTACCATCATTTCTTTTGCTTCTATTTTATGGTGTTGCTCCTGAGTCTCCAAGATATTTATGCATGAAAGGCAGAACCGATGAAGCAGTGGATATTCTACAGAGAGTGGCAAGAGTAAACCACAAGCCACTACCTTACGGTAAGCTTGTTTCTGAGTGCAAAGTGGAGCTCGACGAGAAACTCAATCCTTCAGAATGTGCACATTTAATCCCTGTTCAGAATAATAAGACTGCTAATGAGGATGCCAAATCTAAAACCAGAGGCATCCGTGCATTGCGTAGTATTCTATCACCTCCATTAATCAGATCAACCCTTCTTCTTTGGATGGATTTCTTTGGAAATGTGTTTGCATATTATGGTGTTTCGTTGCTGACCACCGAGTTAGTTACAGAGAAAAGATGCTCTGTTATGTTGAATTCAAGTCTCTCAGAGAGCAGTGGTCCATACAAGGATGTGTTTATTACTAGCTTTGCTGGTAAGATCACAAAAATTTTAATTATATTTGTGGCTTGATATTATATAAGTTAACAAGGGTGACATTTGAGCTGTAAATTTTGTCAGAATTTCCTGGGTTTCTTTTGTCCGCGGCAATTGTGGACAGAGTGGGTCGCAAGCTTTCGATGTTGGCTATGCTTTCTATTTGTGGTATATTCTTAATGCCACTAATTTTTCATCAGTCAGAAGTATTGACAACAGCCCTTCTATTTGGTGCTCGGATTTGTATCGCGGGAAGCTTCAACACGCTGTATATATATGCTCCAGAGGTTCGTATCATTTCAACTTATGATATTTCAACAAGTTTGCACTCAATTATCTTAATCATGGATAGACAGAAGCACACAAAGATGAAAAATAAGCATACTGATGGATATATATAGGGAGGGGGAGATACATGGATAATGTGTACCTATATCCTTTTGTTGCTTAATAAGAATGCGATTTACACACTTAACCATGATCTACAAATCCTTAAAAAAGAAATCTGAAATTTTGGCATTTGACATGTTTGAGGCCCTTCAGCTTATATACATCAATTGTTTGAGGTTTTACAATATGCGTGCATAGAGAGGTGACTTTGTGTGCCTTTTCCTATATTGTGCACCCATCTAGCCAATTTCTCCTTGATGTTAAATTTCGTCTCGCTTAGTATATAACACAGTATGTGTCGAATCTCATCTCTCTCGTACATGCATCATGATACTTAGACGTTTGATGTAAATGGACAACAATGTATAATTGTTGTGTGACTTCGTAATTCTTCAACTCTGAGAAGTTATTCACAAACGAGACAATTCAATGTCCTATAGCATATTTTCTGTTTACAAGATTAGATTGACCTCTGGTTCTTATATAATCTTTATTTATGTATATTCCTATATCTTCAGATATACCCGACTTCAATTAGGAGCACTGGTTTTGGAATTGCAAATTCAATAGGAAGAATCGGAGGGATAGTATGCCCACTTGTGGCTGTTGGTTTGGTTGAAGGGTGTCATCAGATGGAAGCTGTCCTTCTATTTGAACTCGTTATCTTTCTATCGGCAATGGCTGTCTCCTTCTTCCCTTTCGAAACCAAGGGCCGTGAGCTAAGCGACTTCTTGTGAAGTTTATAGCAAATAAGATGCCTTTATCCCTATCTGATCAGCTTTTATCCAGGTTATTGTTAGGCAAAAAAAAAAAGGTATTTGCAGATAAATCTTTTGATCATATTCCCCATCGCTTGTATCCAGATGGAAAGGTTGAATATGATATTGTGAACTTTCAATTATTCACTTTAATAATTGTAGAGTGATAACGTATACAGTCATGATCCCTGTATATTTGTGTATAAATTATGTATTGCGATTCGACGTCTGCAGGTTTCTTTTACTGGCCAAAGCTTCTGCTGCACTGAAGTGGTCAAGAATGCATCGCACGCAGCAATTACAGTTTGATTATGAGTCAGCAACCACAGCCCTTCCCTTTCTAAGGGTGGAGTTTCTCTTTCGTTAAGCCCCCCTTTGTACATCTGTAGGGTACATTTTACGGAACCCCTCTGAAATTTGGTTGGGGGCTCCCCACGCAACTCCCTTACACATCAAGAGACCCAGAAGCGTATCTGTAAGGCTGGGGAAAAAGAAATTTCATCATGCGTAGCTTTCTCATACAGGAAAAACTCTTCCAGACTCCATCCAGCACACACTGATATGCCTCCATCCACAATCTTACATCATTTTGCTCATTCCAACAATTAAGAGTCTAGAAAAAAAAATAATAATAATAGTAACAAGTTGGAATAGCGTTGCTACTCTTGCATCATAACACAACACTACACACTCAACCAGCTCCTTTGCGCTGAATTTTCTCTTGGGCCAGGAAGTTTCTGGTTACGCGATCAAGTTGTGGGGTGGCTCACAAACTACAATATAACCAGTCATATATCAAATGATACAAGGGCAGTTGGCGGAGGAGGGGGGGCACGGAAAGAGAAATTCCATCAAATGATGATGATAATGATAAGAGAACTGGAAATTTCCAGAAAAATTACAAGCCGACCCAATAGGACCTTCCATTGGTATTGTGGATAGGTGAAGGCGATGGAGCAGTAACGCACCACTCGTACCAAACCTACAAAAAAAAAGAGGAAAACTATGAAAAAGAAAAAAATAACTTCATGGCTATTAGAGGTTCTATAAGAAATCATCATGAACAGTTTTTATTCAAGGAATCTACCCATTTGAGAAAACAAACACAAGCTTGACTAACAATCAACAGTGAAAGTAAACATGTGATCTTTTCCCGGGGCATTTTCCCTGTTGTTCAGACTTTTAAGCCATACAAATTTTTACATTGTTCGAGAGATTCTCTGGTGATTTCATACTTTTGAGGTAGTTTTCTCTAATAAGATAAAGTTTTAAGACTACTTTGCTGCAAAACCCATAATAGTTCATGTTAATATTGTGAAATTTACTCCAAAAAATAAATTTCAAGAGTCACGAGTACAATGAAAAAAAACTTCAATGGATATTATACCAACCTTTGTAGCGCTACAACACCGCCAGAAATGGACTTCTAATGTTGACCCTGTAGGTACACAGAGAGGTCTCCTCAAAGGGAAGAAAATTGGAAACCTGAAACAAAACAGATGAATATAGATTTATATATGTCAATGATGGCAGAATGAAGATATATGAAGGTATTTGCTAATGAGATTCACGAAGCATTACCAGCTAAACATATTTGGTGTTGCTGTAGTTGGTTCGATACCAAGATGGACATCTTTATATAGGACAGAGTCAAAGTAACCCGCAAATCCTGCAGAAAACAAAAATTTCATTGATATCATTAGCACTGACATAATGAGGACATTTCATGCTAACTACATATCATAGATCACGCTATAGAGCTGGTAAGTTTCGCCATTTTCTAGTTGGGACATGTTGAGATGACCCAATTGTATAAGAACTGAACCTAACCACCTTAATAAATGAGTTGATTACAGAAATAATTATGTTAATCAACCAAGGTAACCCATTTATCAGGTCAATAATATTTTCTTTCCTTTTCCCCCTTCAAATGCTAAATTTTCCAGGATAAAAACTTTAGCCAAGGTTATTATACGCAAAACCACTAGACATTTCTACTTCTCGTATTAAGGTTTTCAAATAAAGCTAAATCAAGGTTATTATACGCAAAACCACTAGACATTTCTACTTCTCGTATTAAGGTTTTCAAATAAAGCTAAATTGGTATAATTATTCTTGATTTTGCTAGACATTTCTACTTCTCGTATTAAGGTTTTCAAATAAAGCTAAATTGGTATAATTATTCTTGATTTTGCGAAAACAATTTGCAGAAACAAAGAAACCTGTGCAAATTAAGTGATATGTACTTGATATTAGAGCCAAGTAAATAAATAATTTAAAAATAACAATGTTTCTTAGCAAGCATACCGTGCACCAAAGCTGATCCAGTATCTGCAGGTATTTCAAAATGCAACTTCTTGTATCTTTGATTGCTCTTATTATCAGAATATTCTGGGTGGGTAAATGTGAATACCTAATCATAATCCACAGAAATCATAATATAAATAATCATTCAGCAAACACAAAACCAAAATGAATCAAGTAACGGAAAGTATGATAATATATAATTAAAAAAATTGTAGTTGAATTATTGAAACAAGAAGACTCAACAAAAATATGCAAATAATAATCCATATAAAGGCAGACACTCACAGATTTAGAAGGAGCAAGCCTGGCTACCCTGTGCAATTTCACAACATAAGCTGTTTCAAAGTGTGCAAGGTCTTTATGTGAATTTACCTGAAAAAGCAATCAACTGTTAAATAGGCAGACTTACATAACATGTAAAATAAAAAAAAAGTTCTGGATTTATAGAAGGCATACATCATTGTATAGCTTTGAAGCAGTTACTGGTTGGATAAAACTGGTATATCTGAAGGAAGATATATAATCTGCTTATCAGTTTCATCAATGAAATACATCTAATCTCAAAATCTGTACCTAAAATTGCTGGACTTTAGAAGGCTAGGACATACGATGAAGGAATAGATATGCCATCTGGCTTCAGAAACCTTTGCGCTCCGTCAAGACACTCTGGGGATAGCTCATTATCACCAAAGGAGCCCAATAACTCGCTAACCTATGCACAATATAAGTTATACATGTGATATAAGTAACTATAAATCAAACAACTGGATATAATACAGATCTGGTAGCTAGCCTTACCAATATATCAGCCTTCTCAGGGGCATCCCAACAACGCATATCACTAGAAATTATAGTAACCATATTCTCCCATCCTTCCAGTCTGATCAAACTCTGTCATTAAAAAATGGACATGTTTTGCAATGATTTTGGGACTGGCAAAAAAAACTGCCACTAGTTACAAATAACTTCAACTCCCTATCATTAAATTTCAAGTTAAGAAAGTGAAAAAAGTTATGTAAAACTGAATGCAGATGCCAACTAAATTTGTGTACACATCACATGCCTTAGATTTTCACTCTTTGATCTCAGATACATTACGTGTCCGGAATAAATTATAAATCTTATAATGTACAAAACAGATGCCTATACATGCATTTCCCCAAACATTAGTGAGAGACAATGTGAAGACCCATTAAGAAACTATCATGTGCTTTTCTCAACATTAGCTAAATCAGCAATTAGAACTTACATGGAGCGTCACCACTGCATTCGGATTTTTTTCTACAGCATAAACCTTCAGTTTTCTGCCGGTCTCTTCAGCAGCCTGCAATAACAGCCATATCAAGTGAGAAAAGTAAAAAAAGAAGACAAGATATAGTGAAATTAAATCATGTATCCATCAAATCAAGCCTTTAAGTAAAGTTTTTCACGTCATATGCATTTCAAGGTGATATTTTTTTGCTAAGAGCTCCATTTCATCGTATTACACTATATTTCACAAGTTACTATATTACACAGAGCAAAGCTAAAGACAGATATAAACATATACAGAGGAATAGAAACCTGCAGTGATGCCCTGACAAGGGGCCCTCTTCCAGCTCCAACAACCATCAACACCTTTCTTGCAAAAGGGAAGGAAACTTGTCAACTGCTAGGAATACATAGGAAGCTAGGAATTGAAAATGTTACAGCCAACTGTAACTAATACAGATAAACAGTACAAATAAGAATGTATATGGTAATATTGCCATTAAAAACTTGATCCCTGTCTTACCGTCCTCGATGTTGAAGCTTCTTCATCTGGAACCCTATCAAGCAAAGCTTTACTAACTGCCCGCTGATACTGCACAAGTAAATCATGGGACATAACTATTGATTGCAAGCTAATACTGACTGCAAGTAAACTAAAATATAAGCAAATAATGATTAAAAAACATAAAATTAATATTTAACAGCAGGACTGAGATATGAATTTTCCATGATGTCTAACATATGCCTAAATCCTAATAATAAGCAGCATACTGTATGCTATAAGTTGAATATAAGCACATTATCACCCAAGAAAGGTCCGTCCAGATTGCATATTGAAAATAATAAATACACATTAGCATCAGCAGAGACCACAAAGAATTAGCAAACTTCTGTGACCGCATTGTTCCAGAAGCAGGAAAAAGCTTTATATATAAGCATAACAATAAACTATATTCATTTTTTGGCAGCTGTTCACTCCTGTGCCAATTTTCTTCCTACTCTTTTGGGTGAGATTCGGTGGCAGGCATCAATAAAGTTGACCGACCATGACAGAATGCAAGCAAACATCATATGTACTAAGGCTCAGGAACTTATAATAATAGCGTGGAAACAAACCTGTGTATACTTCATTGTGTCTTTCTCGAATGTCTCATAAGTTTGAGCCTCCAAATTATCCATGAGAGGCTATGAAAAGAAACAATATGTAAACAGTATCATTACACTTGCAGCTATCAGTTTGAAATAGATCCTGTTGATATTGAAGATGAAAAAGGAAAACATAACAAATATATTTACCTGCAATGGGGACTGCAGAAAATCCCTATAACCAAGCTGCAAAGAAATATGCACAATAACTCAAACCACTATGTCACACAAAAAGCTAGAACATCAAACTACAAAGTCACGTTATCCAAGTTTTGTAGATACCTCAAAACATTCTTGCTCAGGAAGCGGATCCATCCTTCGGTATAAATAAGCAACATACTCTAGGTAAGGCCTCAAGAAATGTCTGATAGGAGCACCACCTATAGTATATAGGAAGAATGTTGGTGATACAATGGCAATAAGAAAGTTTTCATGCTAGATTTGTGATTATTGATGCCCTTCAACATGTGGTTATCTTGTCAAGCCCATGATGAAATCATCTAAATATGGTATTGACTCTCTAATATCTATTGGTATTACCCCCAGAGTCCCGAAAATCAAACTCAATTTCACTTGTCATTGGCTCCCCCTGGTGTGGGAGAATATGCTTTGAATGTGGATGGTTCTTGCCATAGAGAGAACCCTGTTGGGTGTGTTATTTGTGACCACAATGGTGATCACGTGTGCTTTAGCTGGACATGTGGGTATTGGTTCTAGTCTCAAAGGGGAAGTCATTGCCTCATACAAGGGTGCTGAACTGATACATGACATTGGTCTGCATCCTTCCAGTGCCCATACTGACCTCTAAAAATTTTAACTAGCCTGCTTGGGAAGCAAACTCCTCATTGGCAATTATATCGATAGTGGCAGGAACTGC